TTTTCTGTCTACTATCAAGGTCCAGTATTTTTTAACTCCTTGGACCAGAAGTTACGGAACGCCATGTCTGTCTATTCTTTCCAATCGAATCTTAAAAAACATTTAATTTTCGATAATTTGTCCCGTGATTGTAACTAAATAGTATCTAATTTACATCTAGGTGTGTGGATCTAAGTATCTTCGTTTTGATATTATGTGTGTGTCCTCCTTGTATTATATTAGTTTCCTTATTATATGTCTGCTCACTATTCTACCTCATATATATTTAGATGACTTATTCTTTAATATTTGACATGAGGTAGTCTAGCAATTAATAAGCCTTGGCTTCTAGTTGGACTACCTCGTCACAATTTTTCATTTCTTCTTATTACTTTTGTAAATTGTTGTATCAACAATTGTGGCAAATTAATAAATTCTTTTTTTTCTTTTTTTTAATGTTGGTGTTGTGTACTCCGGTGAATAATATGTTTGCGATGTTACTCTGAGTGCATATCCACACCGGGCGAGCTTGAAAAATATGCCCGGCCACGGTGGGATTAGAACCTACGACCTTTCGAATACTAGCCCAATGCTCTTCCAACTGAGCTACGCGGTCAGGACGGTTCGAGTAAGTGATATTTCGGAACAGTATCTAGTTCCTTCAATACCAATGTGTTCTTGTAATATGAATTTTTCTTCTTTTTTTTTTTCTTTTTTTTTTCTGTGCTGGTGTTGTGTACTCAGGTGAATAATATGTTTGTGATGTTACTCTGAGTGCATATCCACACCGGGCGAGCTTGAAAAATATGCCCGGCCACGGCGGGATTCGAACCTACGACCTTTCGAATACTAGCCCAATGCTCTTCCAACTGAGCTACGCGGTCAGGACGGTTCGAGTAAAAAAAAAAAAAGAAAAATTCATATTACAAGAACACATTGGTATTGAAGGAACTAGATACTGTTCCGAAATATCACTTACTCGAACCGTCCTGACCGCGTAGCTCAGTTGGAAGAGCATTGGGCTAGTATTCGAAAGGTCGTAGGTTCGAATCCCGCCGTGGCCGGGCATATTTTTCAAGCTCGCCCGGTGTGGATATGCACTCAGAGTAACATCACAAACATATCTGCAGTGATGTTTGTTATGACATTTTTCCTAGATTGTATTGTATATGAAAAAATGTGTTCATCTCTCACTAACAAAACGCTGGTGAAAGGAATAAAGCAAGCTTGCCCAATCGAACAAACGAGTTGTTTGGACGGATTCCATTCTGTGCTGAATCAATTCTCTCACTTACAGAGGAATGTTTTGTACATGTAGGTATGTATTGTACAGGTACTGTAATGATGTAGGTTTGGCATACTGTACACTTTGAATACTGCACAGGGGCGGTTCAGTCTCATCTGAGGGTTGCACTGCAGATTTTTCAGGGGGGTGCTCCCTTCTACCAACAGTGAAAATTATGTCAAAGACGCCTTAGGAGTATACATGTCCATAACGAGTATACATGTGTAATTTTTTGCAGGCATGCCTTAGCGGTTATGCACTTCAATCAAAACCTATCTCGGGAAACAAGAATGAAAAATGGTGTTGAACAATGCAATGTTGTTTATCCCAAGTTCATGAATGGAGAAGCAGTTGTCAGAAAGGTTCCAGTCAAGCAAAACTTTGGTAAGGTGATTGGTTAGTCATTTACAATTACATACAATGTACAGTGTGGCAAAGTTTCTCTGAATGCCACCACTACATAGTTTAGAGCGGTTTATAACATCAAACA